GATGTTTAGTCTGATAAGTCAAAGAGGAAAAGTACAACAATGCACTATGATTAGATGAGTATGATCATATAAGGACTGTTTAATGTTAAATGAAACAAAGATATTTGTTAACTTTTATCATGCCAAAACCCTCCGGTATTACAATCATGTTTGTTTCATAAGGTAACACGAAAGTTATTATTCACTAGTCGACAATGGAAGCATTGTTTGGTCCTGCGTTTTCCCTATAAAAAATCAATTGAAAAAAGTTTCAACTTTTGAAGTTTCAACATCTTTGGGTGTGAATATAAATGCAAAACCTGTCTGGTGCCGCAGTCTTATTGTTTGAAAAATAAAATGTGTATACTTAATTTTGAAGAGAACAAAATGCTAATCACAAAGAATGCCCTTCAAATGTCTTGTTGTTTCTTAATCAATAACCAATATTCATTTATCACTATTTTAGTAATTTTGTTTTTTTATTAACAGGGCAGTAGAAAATAAACTTACTAGAAGCTATTATCTTGGATGCAAAATTATGTGGCTCCCGTCATCTTTTTTCTCCCTTTTCACATATCTAACAACTATAATCACACCTGCTATGTATTACATTAAAAACAGTTCGTACACCCTTTATGTTTTTAATGTGATTTGCATAAAATAGTCAAGTTTGGAATGAAATAACAACGTAATACCAATAGTTTTAAAAAATCAAAATTATCTATGTCTGTAGCTTTAAAACTGAATGCAAGACCAACAAAACATAACATTGTTGATATGTTAAGTTAGAGCTAATGGAGTTTTCTTTAGTTTTGATAAAATGTAAATTTTTGGATATGGAAATATGTAGTCCTCCAATTTTATCCTTGCTACATCAGGCACCGACAAGGAGGACATGGTTATGAAGAATGAAGAATGTTCGTGATAGCCTGTACATAATGTCAATAATTTTACAGGACTACTAACAGAAAAGTTCCCGGTTCGATCCCCGTTCCGGAGAAAAAAATTCAGGGACTGAATGTTCGGTTTCCCTTGGCACCATTTGCGAGTATGGTCTTGTGAAACGATCATTGTCTGTCAGAAGGGGACAATAAATGGCTATGGTTAAGAGAGGGCCGTATCTCTTGCACGTAAAAAATACCCTTGTAACTTTTGAAAAAAATAGCATGCTAAAGCCGCTACAAGGCAGAACTCGCACCCGCAAAGTGGAAAGTGATTAATATGAATTGCAATACTATGTTTCCCAAACCACCTTAAATAAAACTAATTTCAACATAGAAAACAAATGATTTTTTTGATATCTTGTTTTGACATTGAATCAACGAGTGTGTAACAAGCAACAATCAAGTGACCCCCCAACTAAAACATATTCAATAAATTTATAAATTTGCTTGGAGCTAAAATTTTAATCCCAAACGGCAATGTCTTAAAGAACATACATGTATAGAACTTTTATTTGAACTATACATTTAAATGTTTTTTTTTCTTCAAAATAGATGCTAAATATTTTTTTCGCTATTGGAATATCCTGAAATATGTTTTTTTTTAATATGGGTTGAAACAACTTATAGTGAACACTATTTGTAATCTCTTCTGTACATGCTATTAATAAAAACATTTTCTATTGTTATAAATACTAATGGACTGTGTTTTCGGGATGTAGGAGCAGGGTTTTTCAGAAACCCCGCTCGTCACACCCTGTGGTCAAAATCCATTGTCTTTCGTAACAATAGATCTATTCAATTTACACTTGTTTCAGAAATAGAAACAATGAAGTGTAACAATAGAACTGGGGTGTAAATATAATGTAGATAATTAGAGTTCCGTCTGAGATTCTGTTTTTCTTAAAAATGAGGAATAGCTAATATACAAGCAATAATTTCATAGAAGTTTTCAGTTACATAGATTTCTCACTTGAAATGTTTTACATATTATATTATATTTGGGTCTATTATAGCCATTTTTTCTTCATAATATCCAGCTTTCAAAGAATTTTTCGAATTAGTGGCATGTATATGTTTAACCGCTTCATTGTAATTAGATTTTCTATTCAAAAATCATTCAGTATTACAAATCATGACAGAGCGTTAGCAAATGCTTTCCTCTCAGTCAAGTTTTTATAGTTTACAACGCGTCAATGTTTTTCTAGTATAGATTCAGCAACCGACGGCAACTCCACTAAATATATGCCTCTACAAAGAGAACTGCAGAAGTTATTGTTTGTTAGCGTGGCTATACCATACGGATAATTCCCTACCCCTCCCCCGCAAAAAAATGCATTCGGAATAAAAGGAAGATCAAAAGTATACCAAATCATTATAGAATAGCGACATTTGATGTTTAGCAAATGCCGTCGTCAAAGTTTTACTTTAATATCAATAATTTCCAAAATATGAGAATAAAAATCATTGAAATGGCTAAACTGTTTTAATATCTAAATATTCAGTTATATAATAAGATATTGGAATAATAAATCTCTTTATTCTGTTTGTTCTTACGAATATTTGTAAACAAAAAAGAAAAAGAAAAAAGGTTAACCCTATTTATTACAGGCTGCTTGTAAAGACGATACATATTCGGCTTTTGAAAGTTCATGAAATTAACTGCAACACAAGTGAAAAGCTTACATTCGAAAAAAAAATCATATAGGAACAGTTTTATAAGAACTTATTGTATCGTAGTATAGGGTTATGATATTTATCTTGGTGTTTTATGTTCCTGAAATGAGATTCGTATTAGTTCTACCAGACTGTTTAAAATTATGACGTTCTAGTATAAATCTATCATCACATATTCATCGAATACAGTATCATTTTGTGTAACTCAGCAATAATTTTTTTTCTAGATAAACTATTTTTTCATTTTTGCGTTCATTATTTACTAAAATCAGACTGTTAAATGTTTTATATTTGTGAATTCGGGCCTTTAATAGCTGACTATGTGGTATGGGTTTTGCGCATTGTTGAAGGCCGTACGATGACCTATAGTTGTTAACCTCTATGTCATGTGCTCTATGGTGGGGAGTTGTCTCATTTGCGATTATACTGCATCTTCCTATTTTTACAATTTCACTGACAATTAATTAGTTTCAGACGTTTAGAATATGTTAAGATTTAACAATACCAGTACGTTTACAGTGCACGTGACAGATATATTAGATTTCAATTACAACAAACTCAGAATAGTAAGTGCTTTGATGGGTGTGTAGAATTGGAAATCACTTTCTTCTTGCTTTTGAAATGAAAATAACGAATAAACTATAAAATTCGCTATACTATACGATACAATTGTATAGGGCTCTGGTTTCCTTTTCTATTTTCTTGAAAGAGGCTTGCTACTTGCAAGGACGCTGTGTTTACCAAGCGGAACGTCTAAAAACCGCTCAGGACCTCATGAGTGCACTCAGGACACACAAAGTGCATTCAGGACATGTAATAATTTTACTTTTTGCATATAAATGAGCAAGTAACAAAATGTAGATTAAATGAATGTTTTAATGATTTACTTTAGTGATGCCGAAATAAAATTGAAAGCTGCTAAATAGACGTTATAATATGTATAACGTGAAGACAGTTCTATATCTGTACTTTATGTCGAAATTATTTCATTGAGGAATCTGTTATAATCAATTACTAAAAGTCAAATTTACCCAACTTTACGATTCATTTTGGAGTTTCCACATATGTAAAAGTAAAGGTTACGGTTACTTCATCTGCATAATGCATTGACAATATACGGTGATGTCACAGCAATAAAATTTAATATCAGGAAGTGAATGTCAAATATTTCCTCAGATTATTTTGAATTTACATTGTTTGTGTAATTTCCTTCTCTCTTATGAATAAATGGGGATTACACTTATGTGTCAATGAGACAGCAAATAAAAAAAAAAACAAACAGCTACAAGAAAGAATTTAAAGAATTTAGTCGCTTAATATGCAGAGGTATAAAAATACAATCGCATAGACCATTGGTCAACCTCAATAATTCTAAAGAAATCAAAACGTTTTAATGTTTGCAAACATAGGTGAACCGTTAAAAATGATAACACTTATTGTAGCTGTAAGTGATCAGTTTTAAAGTATAGAGACAATGCTAGAAATTGACAATGATGGACTATTAATTATTATGGCGTAATCCCCATTTATTCATAAGAGAGAACGAAATTACACAAACAATGTAAATTCAAAGTAATCTAAGGAAATATTTGACATTCACTTCTTGATATTAGACTGTCCCCTGTGTATCTTACGCCTCCTATTTGTATACACTATCAACATTACGAAATACATTTATAAAATAACCTGTAAATTTCTGTCAGATACTTTAAACTATACACTTCAAACTGCCTTATGTGTATGTAGCTTTTGCTCAAAATTGCATTGTACTGGTACCATTGAAACATACAATAAACTGTACCAAAACATATGAAAAAAATACGCTGTACATAAACCGATAAATTGGTAACATAAGATAAATTCTACCATATTTTTTTCTACCATTTGTGCTATACTCATGAACAAAGTCATATATATGGTTGTACCATTCGCTGAAAAACGCCAAAATCTGTTTACCACTTAGTTATTTCTACAGAAATTACTCCATACTACATATCATACAGTTGGCTTCATTAAAATTTTGTTGAAAATGATTTATTTGTTTTCGAAAGAATATTAAATTGCAGACGTAAATCGCATTCCAAGTAATAGAAAAGCACACATGGTCCAACTTGGTTTTTTTTTTTATATATAACTTTACTGTATTTAGATCATTGACGGACAGTGACGTTTTGATGTTTTACCTATGTCATCTTAGCAGATCAAAAATCAAGGTATGTAATATGTAAGGAGAAACCATCCCTTATGTCATCTAAAAACATTAAAATCTATTGTATTTCATCCATTCATGCAGAATGATTGAAGCATGGAAATCTCAATTTTAATGTATCTAATCGTTCGTTGTTGAAGCTATTAGTATCAAAGCGCTTTTTGAATTTCTTTTGTGGATATACAGGTCACAATATGACGAGGATTTCGATTTATTTAGTTATCTTTTACATTGTTAAGATTATTGAGTGTAAAAAAATCTTGCATTTATCAGACTGTGATATCAAATATGTTATTAAAAAAACCAAGGAAGTTAAATTAGCCGATTGTAAAAACAGAGGACTGAATTTTATACCTCAGAATTTACCGGGAGATATCAATGTTCTAGATCTTAGTTCGAACAAATTAACAGCTATCAACAACGATTCTTTCGTTAATTATGAGTACTTACAAGAACTGGTTTTGGGAAAAAACCAACTTGAAGATTTATCTAATGAGTCATTTAAAGGATTATCCAACCTTGTTGCGCTGGACATGTCTCACAATATGCTTGATTTATCAAAAGTATATTCAGCGGAAATATTTCTTCCAATTAAAAACTTAACAAAATTGGATATCAGAAGTAATATGCCCCAACCAATAGATTTTGATAAGGATTTTATTTACCCCGACGACGTATTTGGTGTTCTGAGCGAGTTGTCCTTCTTAGGAATTGATATGATGCCTGTGCCACGTTTTGGAAGGGGATTCAGTCATATTACTAACCTTCGAGAATTACACTTTCAATCATGCTATTTAGTAAGCTTGTCTAATACAACATTTCAAGCGTTTCCATATTTTGTACAGGAGCTTAGTCTAACAAATTGTCGCTTAAAAGCCGTAAGGACGGAAGATGATGTTTTGCTTCCGTTTCCACATCTCCGTGTAATAGATTTTCACGGAACATTTATGCATCTAAGACGAGCACTGCATTTATTACACCCGTACAGTTATTCAAATCTAACTACAATTAATTTTGGTCATGTTAGTGACGCTAGTATTGATAGCAGTGAACTACCTTTTGTTATAACAATTACACCCGATATGATGAAATATCTGAAAACAATTTGCGTTGAAAATTTAGATTTATCAAATAATGGCATAGTTGATTACGAATCTGGATCTTTATTCACCTTTGATCGCCCTGAATGTTTACAAACTCTTTCTTTTAAAAGAAACCGGTTTGTTATTGTTACTAAAAGAACGATTAGCGATTTTAATTCTTTTTGTGGAAAAGCTGTTCTACTAAAATCGATAGACTATTCATATAATGCTGTCAACTATATCATGAACAACTCTGTGATTTCCAATTTAGAGATAGATAGTTATCATGGTAGTTATGTGACACTTCCAAAATCACTAGAAAAATTCGATATGAGTAACACAATACTAACCACTTACCCTGAAGTATGGATTATAGTTCCTGAAAACAACAACCTCAAATATTTGGATGTATCTTATGCAAGGACCAATATGCCGTTATTTTTTCTTCAAATTCGAATAGAAACATTTATATCTACTGGACTCTACGAAACTGCCTGGAGAGAAATAAAACGTTTTCCTGAACACAATTTGAAAACAGTTGTATGGAAAGAAGCTTACCTTAATGAAGGAATAGAAGAACAAGGAAACCGGTTGTTCGATGTATTAACATCTGTTGAGTCGTTGGATATATCTAGAAATAATATTTGGTATTTTCCAAACGAGTTTTTAAAACCAATGCCAAATTTGTCATGTTTGTATTTAGGAAAAAATTTACTTCAGGCTATTCCAGAACAGTTGATTGGTCATACTAAAATAAAGGTGCTTGATGTGAGAAACAATCTCCTAACAACTGTAAGTTCAGCCATTAGAAATTGGGCAGATAAGATGCAAGAACGGCATGGAATGACTTTGCATCTCGATGGCAATGCATTTATGTGCAACTGCGATAGTTTAGACTTGATACGATGGATAAAAACTACAAAAGTTGATCTGGACAGTCAATCTTATAAATGTAAATTATCGAATGGAACCGTTACTGATACACTTACTGCCTACAACTCGTTCTCGCACTTGTTTGCGGATTGTAAGAGTACTATGTGGTTAACCTTTGCATCAACGTTGTTAGCTACATCTGGTACAATCTCTTTACTGCTTGTGTTGTATAGTAAGAGATGGAAGATTGCCTTCTCTGTCTATGGAATAATTCAGAGTTTTATTGAACAAAAAGTTCGGAAGAGTTATCAGTACGACGTGTATATGTCTTATGAGGGAGAGATTGTCATATGGATAAAACATGTCTTAGTACCAAGACTTGAGGCCGAATGGGGACTGACCATGTGTATAAGAGATCGAGATTTTTTAGGTGGTGAGAGTCTTCTGGATACTGAGGCCGAATGTATCGAAAAGAGTAGGTACATTATTTTCCTCATCACACCTGAGTTCAAAACGTCAAATGATTGCTTGTTTGAACTCCACAGAGCTAAATATGAGAGAGTAACGAGAAATCTGGACAAAATTATTGTTATAACAAAAAATATTAAAATTACCGACATTCCCTACGAGTTTTCGTACATTTGGAATTATGCATATCTTGTACAATGGCCGAATGATCAAGGAGATTTAGATGATACTTGGAGACGATTGAGAATGTTATTCACAGTAGGGTCAGTTGCTAACAAACAAGTAACTCTATAGAGACTTCAACAGTCGTTATCCATATATTTATTTTGTATCATTTAAACGGACATTTTATATCAACTACATATAATATTTAAAAATTCTATAAAATAGAAATTGGAGATTTTATGATTTATGACAAACTTTAGAACTTTTCTCGCCGATTGTATGTGCTTTCTATACAAATGTTCCCTTATTTGGAAAGAACTCAATTTCAATCAGTAATCTCAGTGTAAGACAAAACATGATCTCGCAGCATTTCTAATCGATTGGGTCTTTTTAGCTCTTATTTAGTGGTCGGATGCCAGTCCGTCCCTTCGTCGATGTAAACGTTTGATGAAATCACTGAACTATGGGCTTAATGTTCAAAGCTTTACCTAGTAGTGCTTATAGAATAAAGTCCGAAAATTGTATCAGAAGATTTGATCCATCACCAAGCAAGGATGTTGCTCCAAACAAATTTGTTCTGTAAAATTAGTTCTACAAAGAGCCAACATTTCGAAAATCGTCCTTATGCATAATATGATCTGAAACTGACATTATCTATATGTTTGATTTCTTAATTGACATTTTATGAATACATTTTAAAGAGTTGTTTTTCTAATAAACAACATACTAGTAGGCATCAACTGTGTGCCTCTACTGGCCGACTTGTTTCTTAATTCATATGAGGCAGGGGTACTACCTGGTTTTCTGAGGAAGACTGCAAAAGAAACTAGCATTATCTTTAAACTTTACGATAAGCTATATAGACGATGTCTTTTCACTAAGTTATTCAATGTGTGTTGACGAATATATACCCCATAGAACATGGCATAAAGGAGACCACAGGTCGGTTAAGTCTTCCTTATATCTTCTTGACGACATATATCTAGAAATTGACAATAAGAGTCTGATGAGAATTTTTTTTTTAAACAAAACACATGATTACAGGTTCCCAATTACGAACTTTTCATTCATATGCAGCATCATTTCCACAGATCCTACATATGGAGTACATATACCCCGGTTGATACGATATTCAAGTTTCTGCGTTTCCTATCATTATGTTCTTGAAAAAGTGTTCCTGCTTTGAAAACAGATTCAGAGTGTGAAAGTGAATAAACTCATCATAGATACCAGGATTGAAATTTTGTATTTGCGCCAGACGAGCGTTTCGTCTACAAAAGACTCATCAGTGACGCTCGAATCAAAAAAGGTAAAAAGGCCAAATAAAGTACGAAGTTGAAGAGCATTGAGGACCAAAAATTCCTAAAAGTTTTGCCAAATACAGCTAAGGTAATCTATTCCTGAGGTAGAAAAGCCTAAATATTTCAAATATTCAAAGTTTTAAACAGTCATCCATCAGAAAAAAAATTATGAATGTCATGAGTTGGTTGACACTGATTATGACCGATATATTCCAACTGCCGTTACATCAATACCGTTCCCGTTGCTCTGATACGTCTCCGAATTAGAATGTTCTCCGAATTTGAACTTGAATCTGCAAAACGATGGGTGCCACATGTGGTGCAAGATCTGCTTCCCCTTCTGGAGCACCTGAAATTCCATTCGTTTTTTTGTTAGGTTCGGATTGCTTAATCTCTAGGTTCTATGATGTGTCTTGTTTACTGTTTTTTGTCTTTTCTTCCTTTTTCCTTGTTTGCAACGGCGTTGTCAGTGTGTCTTCGCGTTTTGAGATTGAATGTCAATTTAGTATCTTCTGCTTCTTTTTATAGGAGTTATTGGCTCTGAAAGACGATTTTAGCAGCTTTTTTTTTCTTCAGAAACTTTTATATATGGAGAGAAACCATAAACAACAGAAATGCTCAACAAAATAAGATCTACAAAAAGGTTGGAATATTGCCCTCATAAATGAGTTATTATCCTTGAAATGTAATTTTGTTAATTTTTTATTGAGATCTTTGCAGAAACTGTAATCGATAGAGATAATATAAAACAGGTATTTTGGCAGAACGATATTAGACTGACAGAAATTGTAACAGCCAAAATATTTAGTTAAATAAAATCTACATATTTAGCAACATAGCCGAAATCTCGTCATTTGACACCTAATAGGAGTTATTGCACTTGAAAGAATAATTTTACACGCTTTTTGAAGAAACTACAATAGAAAGGTAGAAACAGTACAAATCAAACATGATCAGCGATACAACATGCTCAAAAATGCCGAAGAACTAAGCCATGGATTTAAAGAAAAATAATACTGTAGGTGAAGACGTCATATCCCAGATACCGGTAGCAACTCTTTAACTAAAGTACTGTTATTCCGATTCTATTTCTATTGCATTACAAAAAGATGAGTTTGCGCAAAAAGGTCTTGGCAAAGGTTTATTTTGCCATGGTGTTGTCGTTTTTTTTTTTGAATTATTTTTGATTTTCCTTTTTAATATCGAATGATAAAGAGAAGAACGTTTTAATTACCTCACAGAATAAATCAATAGAAAATATTTACGATAATAGACAACAACAGTACCAGATTCTAATGAAATGTCGTCAGAAACAGTCACACCATTGAAGCATTTAGAGCATGCACTTAATATTTAAATTCATTTTCTTTAGCACATCAACTGAATCTGTTGTTTTTAACTTCTTAATACAAAATCTTTTCCCGAGAGATTCCAGTACGGGATAAAAAAATACTTGGTGAAGACAGCAGTTGTAATAAACAGTCTATTCAGATCGAGCTTATTGTGATCAGGAGATATAAATCGTCGACATAGAGAAAAGTCCGACTTACTGTCATACTCAATAGTTACTACGAAGCCCGTTTTTTTTTAAAGAGTTATGTGTTTCTGATTGCGCAATTTAGATTGTAGGAGAAACTTAGTATTTGAAGTCATGTAAGGTACATTGCAGATCATGGTGTAAGTCGTACTGTTGAAAGTCTTGGTATGCAACTTTTGATTTCAAGTCAAATTCTTTTTATTTGTTCTCACGATCATTTACAAGATCCTGCTGCCGAAATTTCTTGTTAAAAAGGAAGTTCAGTTCTGACCATCATTCCAGAAGCTAGAAAGATAAATCACCCTTTTTCAGTTGGATCGGTTGAGTTGTGCTATTTTTGTTCGATTTGTCGTCATTTAGTTTCTTGGCCATGTTGTTGTCTGTTTCTGAGTTTGGAGGATTGATATTTCAAGAGACAGTCGATATTCCAATGGGTACTAATTGTGCACCCCTTCTGGCCGACTTGTTTTTGTACTCGTATGAAGCAGAGTTCATTCAGAACCTTCTAAAAGACAAAAAGAAAAAGCACCTTGCAAAATTCTTTAATTTTACTTTCAGATATATTGATGATGTCCTATCACTAAATAACCCATATTTCAGTCAGTTCTTGCATCTCATATATCCCAGTGAACTTGAAATTATGGATACTACTGATACAAGAAGGACTGCTTCATACCTTGATCTTTTCCTTAATATTGACACAGATGGTCGACTTTACACTAAAATCTATGACAAACGGGATGATTTATAACTTCCCAATTATCAATTTACCATTTCTCAGCAGTAACATACCCTCTGCTCCGTCGTATGGTGTTTACATATCTCAATTCATACGTTATACTCGTGCATGTTCACACTATACGGACTTTATATACAGGAGTGTATTCCTTACGCAGAAACTGCTCCAACAGAGTTATGAGGAGGAAAAATTAAAAATGACACTCCGTAAATTTTATGGACACCATCACGAATTGGTTGATCTATATGATATGTCTGTGTCTAAACTAACTAATGACATTTTTACCACGTCTTAGATTGTGGTTTAACATCTATTTCGTCTGTCTGCTAAGTACCGAACTTTAACTATTCCCGAATGTTTTGCCGAGTTTGAATTTAAACTGCTATACGACGTGTCTCGGTATTTTATGCATCCAACATTCATGTATTTATTAATGATGTTTTTGTTGTGATTTCGGTTTAATAATGTGCTATGTCTTATCGTTTGTGGTTAGAATTCTATACTTTCTGTACATTTTACAGATGTCTTATTTGTCAGTATAGTCGAATTAATTTCCATTTTTTATGGATAAAGTATTGTGTTAGTCCAAATAATTATGACGTCATCACAGCATTTATTTAAAATATCCTTCCAATACCGTCATTATTATGATAATTGTTTGGACTAGTATTGTGAAAAAAATTGTATGAATTTCAAGATTATATATTTGTTAAAAAAATACGTCAATGATTGTGATGCCCTGTGCTGTCTGTCGTTAATGGAAGATGTTCGTTGTTATTCTGCGGTTTACATGACTATTATATTATTTATTTGTGCGTTTCTCTGTGATGAGTGTTCATGCGTTTGTTTGTGCTGTATTTCTGTCACGTAGTGTTGTCATTTTAGCGATATTTGTTTGGAGGTTTAAATAGCCATAAAACCGGGTTCAACCCACCATTTTGTCTTAAAATGTCCTGTACCAAGTCAGGAATATGGCAGTTGTTATCAAATATTTCATTTCTATGTATGTTGGCGTTTGTTTTTGTTGCACTTTGTTTTCCTCTTATAGTTCATGTGTTTTCCTCGGTTTTAGTTTGTAACCCGGATTTGTTTTCTCTCAAACGATTTATGACTTTTGAACAGCGACATACTACTGTTGCCTTTATCTGTCTTGTCCCCTTGGTATCCTCAATTTCAGTTTACTTGTTGTATTGACACATAGCTTAGACTTTTATATATTTTGTTTTGTTTTGTAAATGTTATGTTTCATAGTAGACCCTGCTGGAATGGTATTGGCGGTGATGGTTTACTCATCAAATTTCTGTCTTGAATGAGGTGGTTTGTTATTGATGTTTGTCTTTGCGTTTTATGTATATACGCCGTTATGTTGTCTATTTTATTGAACTTATTATCTTAAATGCCAATTTAATACAACCCTTGTCTTCACTAGTTATCATGACACATAGCTTAGACCTTTATATTTGACTGGTTTTGTACTGTAAATAATATAATGTTTCATAGCAAACCCTGCTGTAGAAGAATTCATGGGTTTTGGTAATTTTGTGTTGATGAAAAACATATCATTATTAAATGTTTTCAGTTATTTTCTAATGTAAAGACACAGTTGATATATACTTTTTTCATATAAAATAGTTCAAATCGAAAAAATATATTATAACATTATATTGAATACAATAGCAAACTAATGTTTACATATAAATAAACAATTGAATAAAAAAAAGCCAGAAATATCAAAGGAACATTCAAATTCACAAGTCGAAAACAATCTGAAATATAAAGCGTATTGACAGGAGAGAACCTGATTTGTGATGAAAACATAAAAAAACTAATTAATGAAGGGAATGGAGAATATTCATTCACAAATACGTAGGGCATGTATATATAGCAGGAGCGGTTAACCCTGTCGACGCCCCCAGTATTGATATTCTCATACTTCCCGATTTTATGCAATTCCTCCAGTTTTTGTTGTGTTATTTAGAAACTTAGCTTCTATATGTTTTATGATATTTGATAATCGATAAACAATGGTTGCCATTAATAACCGGTTTTTCAGTTAAGAAATCGAACAAAGTTAAAGTAGTGAGCATTGAGGCTTAGCATCTCAAGTCAAAAAGATGAATAGTAATGTGAGTATTATATACATTTTAAGATACGGAACGTCAATAGTTTATTTTTAATATAGTGAGATTCTTATCGTTTCGTCAGAAATTAAAAAAGTAATTTGATAAAATTAATATTCATTATTTGACCTCTGTCGCCTGGTTAATGTGTTCGGAACAAGAAGAGCCATTTGTACTATAGGACTGCTGTAATATTAAGTCTTTGAGATCCTTGTTAAAATGGTATGGGTTATAATTTATGCAGTAATTTGTATTGTAATTCTATGTGATGAAATCTCTCGATCATCAGATTGTGATATCAAATATGTATTTAATTGAAAATTCGGAGTTAAAATAGCCGATTGTAAAAACAGAGGACTGCAGTTTGTTCCTCAAAATTTACCCAGGGAAATAAATGTTATAGATATATCTTCAAATCAGTTAATAAGTATTGAAAACGGTTCGTTGATTACTTATCAATATCTACAAGAACTTTATTTTGGCTAAAATAAACTTGAGGATATATCGAATAAATCATTTCAGGGATTACACAATCTGGCCGTGCTCGATATGTCTCACAATTCGATTGATTTTTCTTATGCATATTCAACACAACTTTTTTTTCCAATTCAAAACTTAATAAAATTGGATATCAGCAGTATTATGCCTCAACCTGAGAATTATAATAAGGAATTCGACTATCCAGATCATGCGTTCGGTGTTCTGAGAGAATTGACTTTCCTAGGAATTGATATGATGCCATTGCCAAACTTCGGAAGCGGATTCATTCAAATGACCAACCTTGGAGAATTGCATTTTGATTCTTGTTATTTAGTACGTCTATCAAATGAAATATTCTAGACGTTTTCGTCGTCTGTAGAAGAGCTGTCTCTCAGAAATTGTCGGTTATACTTTGTGTTAACAGAAGTTGGTGCTTTGTGTCCGTTTCCTAATTTTCGTTCGTAAGACGTTTTTGGGACGTTTATGCATCTTACGCGTGCATTACACTCTTACATCCATACAATAATGCATCTTTAACTACAATCAATCTTGGCCATGTCATTGATAGTGATGAGTTCCCATATGCGTTGACAATTACATCCGATAACATGAAGTATCTGAAAACAATTTGCATAGAAAATCTGGAATAGTTGATTACACACATGGCTCTTTATTTTCCTTTGATTACCCAGAATGTTTACAACATCTTTCTTTGAAAGGAAACAGACTTTCGATTCCTAAAAGAAAACATCAGAAAGAACTTAACTCTTTTTTTGGAAAAACTTTACCATTGAAATCTTTGGATTATTCTTATAATGTCGTTAACTTCATCATTAAAAGTTCTTTAAATTCCAATTTGAATTTTACAAGTTCTAGTGGAAGTTACGCTATATTACCAAAATCACTAGAAAAATTAGATATTAGTTTCACAATAGTAAACCCGTTACACCCACCCTTGTTTATAGTTCCGTCAATCAATAACCTTACTCATTTGGATATATCATATACAACTACAACTGTTGCAATGTTTTTTATGACACTTCGGCTAGAAACATATATTTCTGCTGGAACCAGGTACACATCAACTTGGATCGAATTACACCTATTTCCGAAAAACAACATAAAAACGATTGTATTGAAAAACGCTGCCCTAAATGATGGAATAAACAAAAAAAGGAAACAACTTGTTCACAAATGTTCAATCTGTCGAGACACTTGATATATCTGAAAATAATATATGGTATTTTTCGGACGATATATTTAAACTACTGCAAAATTTGTCAAACCTTTATTTAACCAACAATTTACTACAATCTATTCCAGAACAACTGAGTACGCTTACAAAAATAAAGAGGCTTGATGTTAGAAACAATCTCCTTACAAGCGTTAGTTCGACCATTAGAAATTGGGCAGATAAAATGCATGAAATCCATGGAATGACCTTGTATCTTGATGGTAATGCATTTGAGTGCACTTGTGATAATGTAGATTTGATAAGGTGGATACAGGCTACAAAAGTTGATCTGGACAGCCAATCATATAAATGTAAATTATCAAATGGAACAATAATTGATTCACGTATTGCCTATAACTCTATTTCCGAATTGTTTGCGGACTGTAAGAGTACTATGTGGTTAACCCTGGCTTCGATATTACTTTCTACATTTATCACATTATCACTGCTGCTTGTGGTGTATAGTAAGAGATGGAAGATCATATTTTTTACTTATGGAATTATTCGCCGTGTTGTTGAGCGTAAAGTTCATAACAGCTATCAATATGACGTGTATATATCATATGAAGGGGAAATTGCCATTTGGATTAAAGATGTTTTAGTACCAAAACTTGAGGACGAGTGGGGACTGACCATGTGCATAAAAGAGCGAGATTTCTTAAGTGGATCGAGTCTTGCGGATAGTACAGCAGAAAGCATCCAAAACAGCAGATCCATTATTTTTCTCATCACGCCTGAATTCAAATCCTTACGTGATTGTTTATTTGAACTCGATAGAGCAAAACACGAGAAAATTACAAAAACTCTGGAGCGTATTATTGTCATTACAAAAGATATAGCAATTACTGATATTCCTGTGGACTTTTCCGTCATTTGGAATTATGCATATCTTATTGAATGGCCAAAGGATCCCTACAGTTTAGAAGATACATGGAGAAGACTGAGAATGTTATTTGCAGATAGCATAGTTTCTAACAAATACACAGCTTAATAGATAAAATTCTTTTGAAATGCAATTCTGTTATATAACGAGATAACTATACACATATATTCTGCCATTAAAAAACTATTCCGGATAAGTCATTTACTTAAAAAAAAATTATATATATTGCATGAAAATTGGTTTTCTGCATTTGTAAAAATAAAGCCAGTGATCTAGCCAATTCGATTATTGAAAAATCGTTTACATTCCTATTTCATGTTGTACATAGATGTATATTTGAATTTCTTTTGTTTTCTAGACACTGCCCCTGGAGCTTCCTTTCAAAGGTCATCAAATGAGGCCTCTTGCAAATTTTTATTCAGTCAAAATGTCCTAATCATGGAATTTGCCAGTTGTGAGTGAGTTGAGACACCTACACAGCGTATCGGTCGACAAATTCATGATGGTGTGTAGCGTCGATTGCCTTCGTTCTAGGTTTCTCATAACACTGCTTGAGCAGTGTTTGTTTTTGGAGCCCAACCCTGTTAACAGAGTACGTCTTGTTTGAACATGGACAAAAGTGAAATTTTAACTGAGATATGTAACACCCGACGACGGAACAAGGGGTATATAACGGCTGAAAAAATTGGAAAAAAAGGAAAATAAAAAATTCCGAACTCCAAGGAAGTTTTAAAACAGAAAGTCCTTTAACAAATGAAAAAATCAAACGCTCGAACACATCAAACGAATGGAAAATAACTGTCCTATTCCAGACTTGGTGCAGGCATTTCCTTATGCAGAAAAAAAATTGTTTAAACCAGGTTGTAAGCTGACTAAACCTCTCACTTGTATGACAGACGCATAACATTCCATTATTGTGACAACAATGTGTAGTCAAAACAAACAGACATAATAGGTAAAAATGTCAAAAATTGGGGTACAGCAGTCAATATTGTGTTATAATCTTAATCACTATAAAACAAACAACTACGTCAACAAAGAAAAACAAAATGGCATGTAGACACTCCATAGACAAAGCACATAAGCAAACATGAAAGACAAGAATACAAAAAATGACCAAAGCACAATAACACAATGGCGGGATATATAAATACCGAGCCAAGCTGGAAGTTGACAATTGGAAAATTGAGATCATCACTTTTGTCTTAGATTCTAGTTAGAAGTAGTCCATCTATGTTAATATCGAGTAAAAGATATGCAGTAGAGCTTCTACTTTTGGTAGTATCCCTAATATCAAGTTCACTGAGATATATAAGATACAAGCACTTATTGAAATGAGGGTTATTGAGTGACAGGACATCATCACTGAAAGTGAGAAAATGAATTTATACAAGATGTTGTTTAGTTTTGTCTTTTAGAATGTTCTGTATTATTTTTTCTTCACATTAGTACAATAATAAATCGACCAGTAGTGGTATACAATAACGACTGTCTGCTGTATGAATAATCAGCTAAACCAAACAAACATGTTTCTCGATAGTTTGTTTTAGCACTTCGATTTCGATAATATCCTTTTCGGAGAACTTGTCAAAATAGTACGGTTTCCACATGTGCAGAAGTATCTGTCTACCCTCTTAGATCACCTGACATGTAAGATCGTTCCCGAATTTTGGTGGAGTTCGTGTTGCTCAGTCTTTAGTTTTCTATGTTGTATTTTGTAGGCTGCTGTATGTCTTTTGGTATTTCTTTTTTTTTGGTTTTTTGTCATAGGGTTGTTGTCAGGCTGTCTTCGATTAAGGAGTTTGAATAAATCTTAGGAATCTCCCGCATCTCCTTTTTATCATGTACAATGCCGTTATATGCATATTTTCTTTCAAAACGATATGTCATTCTTTTGTAGAAACAACGCGGACGATACCCTAACCCTAATCAAAGTTTCAATGAAATGGGTTTAAGGCAAATTGTTTTGTTATAAATTAGGCCTTTACTTTCTCAATTGAATTGCTTCATATTTTTTATGTCGGGGCCTTTTATAGCCGACTATACGGTATGGATTTTTTTTCATTGTTGAAGGCCACACGGTTGCCTATAATTGCTTACATCCACTTCATTTGAACTTGGGTAGATGGTTGTCTCATTGGCAATCATACAGCATCTCCTTATTTGCATATTAAAGCATAACAAAACGACATGTAGAGGGGTAATATTTTGCTTCATTATAATGCAAACCACACTTTTCTCAAATATTTAATTAATTTCACAAGTATTGTGCGTTGTTGCCAATTTCGGCTTTACCTTTCAATATTCTATCTATGATATGGTTAAGACAGAAAAATTCCATTCCCCCTTTTATTTAATCGTATGATCAAATATTCTCAATTTCTATATGGGAACAGCCACGTGTTTTATATTAGAGAAAAATGGGGTGCTTTACTATTTGATCTTGATTCTCAATTTTTGAAAACATAAATGTACTGCCAGACATAAGAGGGAATACAATTATTCTGAATAGTACGTTTTGAGAAAAATTTGTTTTTTCTGCAGTATCGTGTTACAAGAAAAGCCCATAGCATCTCTCTTTTATAAGGTTATATTAATAAATTACTTACAAAGTGATTTTATATACTTCATACTTCATGCAGCTACAGGAATATTTGTGTTGTAACAGAACAGTGATATCTAAAGTTTATATCTAGAATAATTAGTTAGATTTATTTTTATAATAAATAAGTCTTAGCGTGTATTTAAACCTAAACGCTGCAGAAACTGAATATTGCTTTACGTTATATAGGTGGTATTATGCATATTGAAGGTTTTTTTGTCGTATAACACACCGTGATATGTCAAGATTGTTAAATGAAAGAAATGCGTACGGTTGGTCTTTCATTTGATCATTCCGGACACCATCAACGACAAGAAAACTTTAAAATACGCGTCAACTATAACAGACATCACATGACTTTTCATTATGTAAATTAAATCTGATACAGGTGTGTCATTAATGGGTGCAAAATTATGAGGGTAATAGAATATTTCATAAACACCTGGGACAGTCTGCTAAGGACTTTCTTAATAATTTCTATTACAAAAACGGTGGAAATTCCTGTCTTTGATATTCAGGTAAAAATATGGTGATGATTATCATTATACAATATTTTTTGTGTTATGAACTGTGATGAATATTTAGATTCATCTGACTGTGATATCAAACATTTAATTAAAGGACGAGAGAACGTTAAAGTAGCTAATTGTTCAGACAGAGGACTTACGTTTAAACGTCAAATTTTACAAGTGGACATAACTTATCTTGATCTGCGTTCAAATCTGATCACAAGCATTAAAAACAATTCTTTCGTCAATTATAGAACTGTTTTTAGGTTAAAAAAAATTTAGTAATTTATCAAGTGAATCGTTTTGATGGTTATGCAATCTTTCAGAGCTAGACATGTCTCACATTTTGCTTCATTTATCTAAAGTGTATTCGGCAGAACTACTTTTTCCGATCGGAAATCTAACAAAATTGGATATTTGGAGTAATAAGCTCTTACTAGAAGATTTTGTCACAGTGTTTTACTACTCTGATCATGCACTCGGTGTTCTTAGAAAGTTGTCTTTCCTAGCAATCGACAATATGCCTATGCACCATTTCGGAAGTGGATTCAGTTATAGAAAAAGTCCAAATAACTGTCTATTCCTGAGAAATAATAGAGCGGAGGCCCGTAGGGCCGACGCCCATTATTTCCCAGGAATGGACAATTATTTGGACTTTCGCTAACTTAAAATACACCTTAAATATTAAGAACGAATCTTTAGATTATAACATTTAATAAAAAAAAATATTTCATTTTGTAATGGTTTTCTTTTCATTTCCCCGTGTTGTACCCAATAATCCACATAATTCGATATTTCAAACCATTATATTAGATCAAATAGAATTATACAAGAAAACAGTGTTTCATGTTTCATGCATACCCCAACATTTTTTTCTTTCCCTTTGCTCATAACAACGAAAAAAATGTTATGCATGTTTTAGCAGATAAGTCTTAAATAGCAATACAAGCAAACTGAAAATATTTTTCATTCTTACCTAATATCAGAAAGGAGGCAAAAAAGATTTAGAAAAAAAAACCCGCGTGATTAAAAACATTTCTAGATTGCTTTTTGTAGTCTTTAAATTGAGTGGAAAACTACTTATAATAATAATAAATTCTTTATTTAACGAAGGTAACTCATTTTACATACAATTGTTAATCTCACACGAGGCCTATACACATTAAAATGAACAATTAATACATATAACAATTAATGCATATAACACAATAATCAATAGAGATGTACACAATTACAAATCTATATACACAAGCATGAAAACAGACTGTAGAACTAGCATGGCAAGAATGTCCTAAGTGAAAAAAATGTTTGTCTACTCATTTTGTTTTGTGAAAAAAAGATTAGCAAATTTCACCTTAAGGCTTTCTATATGACTTGAATCTTTTATATCATTAGGCAAACTATTCCAAATAATTAGACCAGAATATTGAAAAGTCTTTTTGAAGTATTCAGACTTTGGCCTTGGTAAATGAAGATGTCCAGATGTTGTTGACCTAAGAGAATAACTATATAGATCACTGCACGCAGTAAATTTACTAGTAAGATAATCTGGCGCTAGCCCATTCATACATTTAAACATTAAAATGGCTTGAAAATATTTTATCCGTGTAAAAATGGTCATCCAATTAAGTTCTTTAAACATTGATATTGATGGATAATCAAAAGGTTTATTCAAAATTAATCTTGCTGTGCGATTTTGCAGCTTATGAATCCGCTCAATGTTGCAGTTTGCGGTAAAACCCCATATGGTGCAACAATAATCAATTATTGGTAATATATAACTGTTGTTAAAAGGATAAGACCTTTGCGAGGAAAGTATCGTTTTAATCTATTTAACGTAGCAGGTATAATCTGCTTGAAAAAATCTCACATACTTTATCTATGTGAATTGACCATAATAGATTTTTATCTATATGGATACCAAGAAGTTTTTCTACTTCCATATTGTCAAATAAAGTCTGATTTTGCGATAATACACACAAGACATCATTACAATTCTCAAGTTTTCTCTCAGATCCCATAAGCATACATTTGGACTTCTTATTATTTGTTATCAT